ATGATGATTTTATTTCAAGAACCTCTTGCTCCTTTCTATTTTTATTTATTTATTTATTTATTTATTAAAAATTTTTTTTTTTCAACGTTTATTTATTTTTGGGACAGAGAGAGACAGAGCATGAACGGGGGAGGGGCAGAGAGAGAGGGAGACACAGAATCGGAAACAGTCTCCAGGCTCTGAGCCATCAGCCCAGAGCCTAACGCGGGGCTCGAACTCACGGACCGCGAGATCGTGACCTGGCTGAAGTTGGACGCTTAACCAACTGCGCCACCCAGGCGCCCCTATTGCTCCTTTCTATTATTGGACTTCAGGCAGAATCACCAAAATCTAACCAAATAGGTCTTAGCAACTCTGAATCTTATGGGACTTATGCAGATCTACCACCTCTTCCCCCAGACACCTTTAAACTTCATATTTTTTTTAAAGTTTATTTATTTTGAAAGAGAGAGAGTGAGAACATGTGAATACACATGTGTGAGTAGAGGAGGGGCAGAGAGAGAGGGGGAGAGAGAGAATTCCAAACAGGCTCTGTGCTGCCAGTGCAGAGCCAGATGCAGGGCTCAATCCCACCAACCGTGAGATCATGGCCTGAGTCAAAATCAAGAGTTGGATGCTTAACCAACTGAGCCACCCAGGTACCCCAAAACTTCACATTTTAATAAATTTACACACACATGCACACACACATGCTTCATAATACTGCTTCATACTGATTTATTTGAAGAAAAAAATGTATAGGGAGCTTAAACACATTTTCTGGATTTATGGGACTATATATAAGGAAGAAGAAAGATAAGAAAACTTCTAAATGAATTACTAATTTTCTTTGACTCTGTTGCTTCCCACAGACAAACAGTTCCTGCCTCAGAGGCTGAATTGTTACCCTTAACATAATGAGCTTCAAAATTAATTTGATGGCCCTAAAACATCCCTTAAACTATGTCACAAATCTATAACAATACACATTTCCATCTGGATGTTATGTTGTCATACTCAGCATGCCCTAAAACAAACTCAGCATTCCAAATCTGCACCTAACTTTTAGAAAAGTCCTTTGCATATTTCATATTTCCCTGATCTCTCAATTACTTGGTTTGAGATTTCAAATTAAGTTGTATCCTACAAAATGCTACATTGAAGCACTGAAGACACACTCTTTGCTCTTAAGACCATGGTCTGACAAATATAAAACAAGTATTCTGAAGTTAGTGTCAATGAAACCATTAAAAATGCTAATATACGACCAGAAGTCCTAGCCAGAGTAATCAGGCAAGAAAAATAAATAAAAGGTATCCAAATCAGAGAGAAAGAAATAGAATTACCTCTGTTTGCAAATGACATTATTATATATAAAAATTCCTAAAGAGTCTACCAAAAAAACCTGTTAGATTTAATCAACAAATTCAGTAAATTTGTAGGATAAACGTCAACATACAAAATCAGTACTGTTTCCATACACTTACAAAGAATTATTTTAAAAAGAAATAAAGAAAACAATACTATTTACAATAGCATCAAGCACAATAAAATCCTTAGGCATAAATTTAACCAAGGAGGTAAAATACCTGTACACTGAATACACAAATAAATGGAAAGATATTCTGGCTCATGGCCTGGAAGAATTAATGTTGTTAAAATGTCCATACTACCTAAAGCTATCTGTAGGTTCAATGCAATTCCTATCAATATTCAAATAGCGTTTTTATAGAAATAGAAAAAACAATCCTAAAATTCATATGGAGCACAAAAGACACCAAATACCCAAAGTAATATTGAGAAATAAGTACAAATCTGGAGGCATTACACTTCCCAATATCAAATGATATTACATAGCTACAGTAATCAAGAGAGTATGCAATGGAAATAAAAAAAAAAAAGACATACCTACCAATGGAACAAAATCAAGTCTAGAAATAAATCCATGCATATATGATCAACTTAATATTTTAAAAAAATTTTTTTTAACGTTTATTTATTTTTGAGACAGAGAGAGACAGAGCATGAACGGGGGAGGGTCAGAGAGAGGGAGACACAGAATCTGAAACAGGCTCCAGGCTCCAAGCTGTCAGCACAGAGCCCGACGCGGGGCTCAAACTCACGGACCGCGAGATCATGACCTGAGCCGAAGTCGGCCGCTTAACCGACTGAGTCACCCAGGCGCCCATCTCTGTTATATTTTTTATTGAAATGTTTAATGGTAGGATTTTATAAGAAGAGACAAAATGAAAAAAAACCAACAACAACAACAAATAATGCTATTAAAGTAACTCCATTTCTGGTTTTTGAAAACAGAGATATTTTCTATATTGATGAAGCTAAAATCAATCCAGGAAAATGTAATTATGTGACTTAAAGGTCTTTCAATTAGGTTATATTATAAACCAGTGAAATTTGAGTAGAGTTTTTTTTTTTTATTCTAATGGGAATATCGATCTCTAGACTTTTAAGACTTACAGTGGTCAGTTAATATTTTTATAATTAGTCTTTTTGAAACCAAAATAAAAACAAGGGCATTCTTTGTGATCTTTTTAAATGTACTAGTAATTTATGTGGACTAGATTTATCAATATATTTATAAAAATTTTAGATTGTTCTTGAAATAGTAATAAGTTACACAAGATTATATTCTATATGAATATAGGAGATAGTACTTACTGGAGAAACACTACTGGAACTGGCCCTTTAGATTTCATATTGTAGAACAACACCTGACCACGGTGTTCCCTACATGGTAGCTGGGTGCCTGCCCCTAGATCAGGGATGTGTGGCCTACAGTGGTTTAAAGATGGCTTTAACTTTGGGCTCTTGAAAACAGTAAAATGAATGAAAAATGAATATTCAAAAACCAGAAGTAAAATATACTAGTAAAATATTCCTATAACAAGACACCTATAAATAGAGGCATATCACACATGCAATATTGCTAACTTTTTATCCCCTCTTTTTTTCAGAATGGAGGCATGCGGTGAGCATCTCACTCTTGCTGCAGCTGCTTTCTTTGACTGGAGCCACTCTACTCCCCTGTTGCTCCCCTTCCTTTGTGAATCAGACTATGGAGTAGAAAATAGTTGGTTCAGGCCACTACCAGCCTTGTGTACATGGGCAAGTCATATAAATCCCATGACCATCTGTATTTTCCCCCCAGAAAACACATGTGCAGTCATGCCTGTCTTAAAGGGTTCATGACTATGTTCATAAAATGCTTCCACTGGACGTGAATTTTAGGAATCAAGGACTATGTTTTAATCAACATTTCATGCAGTACAATGCCTGGCACATGTTGATACAGAGTAAGTAGTATTCTTACATGATGTTGCACATTGTAGGAAGGGTGGCATGCTGAGGTATTCTGTGTTTCATGGGGTTCAGATACGGCTTTTGAAGGAAAAGGTGATTAGTCATTGTGTTGGCATGTGTCTACAGGGCTGATCCATTTACCTAAAAAAGTTGGGGACAAAGGCTGTCCTTCAGACGTTTCAAAAAGTAAGTTTTAGAGGTGAATAGAGAATAATCCCTTTGAAGAGAAGAGTCAACACAATCAGATCATTCCAGATATATTAGTTGATAAACACCAAGGAAGTTCATGTTATAATTCTCCTATTGCCTAAACCTAAGAGATAGATTTCAAGTTCGAAAATAATAGCCTAAATAAAATGAAAAGTGTAGGAATGATACTAAGAGAGAGATCCCACAGATTAGCTTCCTCAACATTTGTAACTGCTGTCATCAGCACCTACACATTGAATAAAGGAAATGAATTATATATATTCAGGGTGGTTTCTCCCTCTGGGTGCTCCTTAGGATGATTTTCTAATTGGAAGCCTAGTAAGGGCTGCAGCAGGGGACCCCTTGGAAAGCATTCATATGTGTTCCTTGCTGCAGGGAGACACAGAGGACTGAAGCATGACTCACACTAGACAGAGCAGAAACAACTGTGTACAAGTTCTGTCTCCAACAGGGCCACACAGAGGGCCAAGGACCATGGAATAAGTCCTCATGAGCAACCCTCTTGAGTTGACAGGAGGATGCAGGCCATGAAAGCTGAACAAGGCTAGCGATGGGCCACCAGATGTCCAGGGGCATAAAGTGGATAAACACAGAAACATAATGTATTGACTGGTTTCCAAAGACAGCTTAAAACAAACAAATAAGCAAGGAAAATCCTACTTCATATTCTTTCCATTCTTATGCATGTGACCTTATAATCCTTTCTCACCATGAGTAACAAAACTCAAACTGAATATTGAGCAAAGAAGCCAGTTAATTCTCAATTCTAATCTTCTAGAAACTCAAAGAGAGAAAAATTCAATATAGAATTTAACAATTACATTGTTATCTGAAATTGAAATATATATATATATATATATATATATGTAAATCTTTGGAAAGCAGATCTATTTTGGTCTGATCCTGAAGGAAGCTGAGAGGAAAATTTTGAAATAGTCTCATCAATCTTGATTTGTCTCATGCTGTGATCCTGATATTTATTCTAATAATACTTACAGAAATATGATTCTCTAATGTCTTGCCTGCTTGTGTTTAAAGAAATATATGGAAAACAAAGACATACTATTAAAATATAAAGAAAAATATGAGATCAGACATGTTTTCTTGGGAATGCCCATAACCAGTGTTGAATTCCTTACAGAGTTTTCTGGCATTAATCAAGGACATTCATTATTTGTCACTCTGGGTCACACAGCTTATGTAAGACTGCTTTGTTGAAGTCTTTTTTCTTTCAAGCGTATAGAAGTATCAGGTACCTCAAATGCCAAGAGTGATGTCATATTGGGAAAATGCATAACTTTATAAATTAAGCGTGACGCTACCGAATTCTGGTCATCTTACACGAAAGTGGCAATCTTTCCTTAATGAAATCATCAAGATCTGTGGAGGAGTGATGGGGTTACCTCATTCTTCCCTCACTTTCTCAGGCATCCTTCACTTTCCAAAGGCTCAGATTATGAACTGGAGATGACGTGTGCACGCATGCTTACCACAGGCCTATGAACGTCCCAGAACGCTCTCTCTTGGCTATCGAGGATCTTCCTTTCAATCTTGTCTCTCTTCTTGTCCACTCTGTCAACATGGTAACAATGGATAATAAGTGATATTAATTGTAGCACCTCTCTGGACAAAAGGCCGCAACTTGAACAAATTTCCCAAAAGACTCACAAGGACTCACTTTGCTTGTGCTTCTGCTTGCATGAAAATGAACTCCCACTTCCGGGCAAATGCTCTCTGCAGCCTGGCCAGGCTCTCCTGAAAAATACACCACAGGTGAAGACTTTCTGGTGCTCATGATCACTACTCCCTTCTCATTTATCTACCGTATGAATTTGTCAAGAAAATATAGTCTCTAAAGTAGTAAGTGTACTCCAGTTCTGAATGATGAGTCATGCTCACTGAATATAACTCATCCTCATATTAACAGAGGAAACAGGGAAACCTATCACAAATATTAATGTTTATGAATAATTGACTTGAGAGAATACAAGCAAACATCTAAAATACTAAAATTACTTTGTATATAAACAGTGCTCAGTACTAACCTATTGGAGTTTTCTGTGCCCATTTTAGTGAGGAACAGAAAAGCGGTACATTTTTACTATTGACTCAGTCAATCCATCCAGTTCCTGACAAGAATGTAAACCCTCAGAAGACTACTACCATTTCTAGTCAGTGCTTCAAAGCCAGTAAATCACAACATAGCAATTGTTGGAACAAATTACATCAGGTTAATTTTACCTGCTGATGGTGACCAACCTGAAGGTTCCGCAAAAACCATTTACCCAAAGTGAATGTTCTTTACTTCTCTAAGTTTGGATGTCTTTACTATATGCAGGACACATCTCACATTTTCACACTTGAGTTTAGCAAGTAAGACATACTCCTTCCTCCTCTCATGAATTTGTGTGTGTAGAAGTTCACCGTCTCCAAGGAAGCAAGCAAGTCAGGGATTTGGGCCATTATGATGCTTGATCCCTGGGAATCTGGTCCTTAAAATCCAGGCATGTAGAAAGTCAACAGAATTCCCAGAAATGACCATAGGCCTTATTCCTGTTCGTTTTATGACATTCTTTGCCAGAAAGTCCTTAGTACTTACAGCTTCATAGTCAGCTAGTTCCAGCCTTGCCTTGTTTTGCATTGTTCTCTTGCAGAGATAAACCGCTAAAAGGAAAAAAAAAAAAATTAATTACATCTTCCCTGCTTGTTAACATGAAGGCACGTACTGAAAATAAAAGATAGTGTTATAAATCAAGACATCTCGGTCTTTGCCAATTTTTTCCACTCATCATTTTCAATGATTTATTTTTTCGACAAAAATAAAGAAGGTATGACATTTTTACTGAAATTCAAACATAATGGTATTTATAAGAAAAAAGATGTTCATGGGGAGTGGCTCAGTTGGTTAAGTGTCCGACTTCAACTCAGGTCATGGTGTCATGGTTCATGGGTTCAAGCCCCATGTTGGGCTCTGTGCTGACAGCTCAGAGTCTGGAGCCTGCTTTGGATCCGTGTCTCCCTCTTTCTCTGCCCCTCCCCTGCTCACACTCTGTTTCTCTCTCAAAAATAAATAATAAACATAAAAAAATTTAAATTCATTCAAAAGACATAGGGTATCAGAATGGATAAAAAAACAAGACCCATCTATTTGCTGTCTAAAAGAGACTCATTTTAGACCTGAGGACACTTTCAGATTGAAAGTGAGGGGATGGAGAACGATATATTATGCTCCTGGAAGTCAAAAGAAAGCTTGAATAGCCATACTTATATCAGACAAACTAGACTTTAAATTAAAGGTTATAACAAGAGTTGAAGAAGGGCATTATATAATAATTACAGGGTCTATCCATCAGGAAGTGCTAACAATTATAAATGTCTATGCACCAAATTCGGAAGCACCCCAATATTTAAAACAAACACAAACACAAGCAATCTTATCCATAAGAATGTGATAATTGCAGGGACTTTAATAATCCACTTACAACAATGGATAGATCATCTAGACAGAGAATCAGTAGAGAAACAATGGCCCTGAATGATACATTGGACTAGATGGACTTGACAGATATATTTAGAACTCTACATCCCAAGCAGCAGAATACACTTTCTTCTTGAGTGCATATGGAACATTCTCCAAGATAGATCACATACTGGGTCACAAAACAGTCCTCAATAAATATAAAAGAACTGAGATCATAACATGCACACTTACAGATCATAATGCTATGAAAATTGAAATCAACCACAGGAAAAAGTCTGGAAAACGTCCAAAAGCATGGAGGTTAAAGAACATCCCACTAAAGAACTAATGGGTCAACCAGACAAGTAGAGAAGAAATTAAAAGACATATGGAAACAAATGAAAATACAACAATCCAAACCCTCTGGGATGCAGCAAAGGCAGTCCTAAGAGGAAAATACATTGCAATCCAGGCCTATCTCAAGAAACAAGAAAAATCCCCAATACAAAATCTAACAGCACACCTAAAGGAAACAGAAGCAGAACAGCAAAGAAACACCAAACCCAGCAGAAGAAGAGAAATAAAGATCAGAGCAGAAATAAACAATATAGAATCCAAAAACAAACAAACAGAAAAACAGATCAATAAAGCAAAGAGTTGGTTTTTTGAAAAACTAAACAAAATTGATAAACCTCTAGCCAGGCTTCTCAAAAAGAAAAGGGAAAGGACCCAAACAGATAAAATCACAAATGAAAATGGATTTATTACAACCAATCCCTCATAAATACAAGCAATTATCAAGGAATACTATGAAAAATTATATGCCAGAAAACTGGACAACCTGGAAGAAATGGACAAATTCCTAAACAACCACACACTACCAAAAGTCAAACAGGAAGAAATAGAAAATTTGAACAGACCCATAACTAATGAAGAAATTGAATCAGTCATCAAAAATCTCCCAACAAATA